TTTGGAGAAAGAGGTCGGTAACCGTGGCTGGTGCTGTTAGAGACAGTTACTGACTGCTTGAATAGGGCACAGATCCTCCAATCTCGAGCTACCGCCCCATCTGAAACGAGGCAGAACGAGAAGAGCTACGCACCAATTCACACCCAGTCGTCTTCGTCTGCGTCTTCCGATGCCCACGGCCCAGCGCACAAGCCCGTCCCGCCGCCAGTGCCTCCGTTCTCACAAGCGGTGCTTTGCGTGGCGCACCGCCGTTCGTGTGGGCACACGACGTTGCGAGAGGCGTCCTGCATGCCGGGCAGTCGGCGTTGGGTTTTGCCTTTATGTTGGCTGTCATGTACGTAGGCCTTATATCTCGTCGTTTCCTTTTTACTAATGTGTCGGTGGTGACATATAGGACGTACAACGTTGCGTATGTCCTGGCGATTGTAATTGGACTCGGTGTGGGCGAGACGTTGTTTGGGAGGCATATTAGCGCGGCTGGGGTTGGGCACTAGATGTATTATTCGTTGACGCTGGTCGGATGTCCTCGTAAGGGGCTGTGTATGATCTTTCTGTACTTTATCGAAGGAATTATGGACACTTTTTGTTGTTGTCTCCGTCGACTTGTCCCTCCGTCGCATGTAGAACGCACGCCATTTATTTCCTGTATCTTGGATATCGACGCTATGGCGAAGAACACACGTCCGCCTCTATCCATGAATGCGAACCCAGCAACCCCCGTCTTCCATTGCTCTGTCCGGTATCCCCTCTCCCCAACGCCTCTACCATTTACGCCTGCAGGCCGCCGCCAAAGAAGGAGACAAAAAGTTTTTCTGACTTGCCTTTCCTGCCCACTTCGCCAAAAGGAGGAATTTGTTACCGTTACTGCCTAGAGTCACCGGTCACCCAACTGGACGGATTGACCTGCTCCTCGTCTCTCTCCTCACTCACGTCTTTTGTATCGTTGCTCGAAGTAGGGTGCTACGCATCCTACAAGGCTTGAGTCAAACTACCTGCTAGCTGGGTAGCCTGTCTGGTGAAGAAGACGATCTGAAGAGAACGACAACGAGAGGGTAGATAACGGTGAGTGGTCTGCTACGGAATGCTACTTGGTTTGGGATCGTTACTCAAGTACTCACAACGAACTATAGTTCCCTTTGAACTGCTCGCAGCTACGTTCGCGTACCCAGAAGATTCAGAAAATAGGAGATCTCTGGATACTGTTGAAAGGAAGATAGCGAGAGATCGCAAGCTCATACGACAACCTACCCTACATTCCATCGGATTTGGACGGCCTGCCTGAGCGAATAATCGCGCATATATCTACCTCCGATAAATACAGCCTACCCACTAGACGAGCAAGATGGCCGACACCGGTACACCGCCTGTCATCCCGATCGAATTCCAGCGGTACAAGTGAGTGTCTTCCCTCCTCCATCCCTCCTATCCCCTCTTGTCCTGTCAACAAATTTACTAACGACCCTCTCAAAGTTCATACGTCGAAGACCCGAAATGGCAACGCAAGTTCAGCACCATCTGGCCTGCCGTCGCCGGGCTCTTCGTCCTCCTCGCCCTACCCCACCTCGTACGCAGCGTCCGCTCCGGGAGAGCGTTTGCCAGTGTGTGGGGTGTGACGGAGGAGTTTGGGCATGCGGGCTATGAGGCCGTTGGTGCGAGTAAGAGGAGACCGACGCGGAGGAGAGGCGGGAGAGGGAGTGCGTTGAGAAGGGTAGAAGCAACCCTGTCGAGGATGGGCGCGTGGTTGTATTGGACGTTGCCCGGGATTGGGCTGAATTTGGGGCAGAGTAAGTTATTTTCCATCGTATTCGGGTTTCGTACTTGGGCTGACGCGATGGATCTGTAGTTATCATCGTCGCCGCGTACCTCCTTACCGTCGTCCTCTGCATTGTGCTCAAGGCACCGCTCATCTCCAACTCAAACCGTGCAGGTACGTATATCCTCTTTTCACATATATCCATCAATCTAAGCACATTGTACTCAGGCTTCCTCGCTCTCGCACAACTCACACCCATCTTCCTCCTCGCCACCAAGAACTCGATCCTCTCCCTCCTCCTCGGTCCTGGTAGGGGGTATGAAAAGCTCAACTTCCTGCACAGATGGGCCGGGCGCGCCTTGTTCGTCTCAGCACTCGTACATGGCGCTTTGTGGATTAGGAACCACGTCGAGTACGGCATCGAGATC